CTTAGGAAAAGAACAAAGGAAATATTCTCCCCATGGGGGAGAGGGGGAGGCTCCTGAGATAGTGATGGTGTTGCTTCCAGGTTCCTCTACTTTGGAATACACGGGCAGCACTGTGGACAGAAGCCGATCCACCTTCCTCTTCTCGGCCACCAGCTGGTTGGTCCTCTCTTCCACCACCTCCTCCAGGTGACTGGCGTACGCTTCCAGCTTGTTCACCATACTGTCTAGTACACTCATGTGGCTTTAAAAGAACCCAGAGATTTACGTCTTTTTCCAAGAACTGTAGGGCCACAATGGAGTACGACTTCCAAGTACACATTCTAAGACAACATGTCTTGACCCTGAGGTTTCCTGCTTAGGCGTTGTTAATGGGCAGCAGGGTAATGGCAATGGCTGTGAGGCCGCGTGGCAGGACGTCCGTTACCAGCCCTGTGATCTTGAACTGCACCCTTCATTCCTTTAAGCCTCAGTTCCTTCATCTGGGGAGTGAGGATAATAATACACAGCTCGCAGGGTTCTTCTGAAGGTTTGGGGAGATAATGAGCAGTCGGGCCATGCCTGGCCCCCAGCGGGCACTCATCCTATAGGCTCTTGTTTTAGAAGGGTCTTCAGAGAAATCATTAAAATTCTTCATCTTTCAGATGAGGACACTGGGGCTTGCACAGGAAATAAGACTTTCCTTCATATTGGGGGCCCTGTGTTGTAAGTAAAAAGTTATGACCAACCCAAGAGACATGATTTAAAACCATTCTGATGTGGAAAACACAGAATACATGGGCTGCTGTGTTAAGAAATGTATAGTGACATGGCCAGATTAGGGGGAGATGCCCTGACTCCCAGCCCAGGCCTCCTGTCAACTCAAGCTCCTTCTGAATGGCTGTGCCCTCATACGTTCAAAGGTCAAAAGATGGCACAAATACCGTGATGTGGGGGCGAGATACTATCTAGACAAGTGTTCAAGAGGCTTGAATAATTTCAGTCCACAACCACTCTACAGTCGGTGAGTAGTTTTTTGTTTCACCTTCCAGTCCCAATGCATTAGTCATAACCCTTCGAATGCTGGTTTGAAAAAGATTCTGAGGCCATGTCAAAACTCCCTGGGAAAGACAGCCTTGATTGATT